AAAGGCCATGCCTATTCCCTAGAATACAGAAGGCAGAATTGTTCTGTGGAACAGGAACATATGAAGTGTTTTGTAATTGTACAACCATGACTTGATTTGAATGGCTTACATTGTAGTTACCCTGATGGCATTAACATGCAAAAGGTCACAAGTTCAAGTGAGACTTGGAAGTTACCAGATCCGATAAACTTAACAGGAAGCATTCACTCATATCTGTTTATGCCACAGTTTTACTTTTTTAGATTGCAGAATCAAAGCCAAATACTGCTTTCAGTTATATTCTTGTAATAGTACTCTGGCAAGTTATCTGTGAAAGAAAATAAAAGATTTTTAACCGAAGGCCCTGGTTTGCATAGTGAAGATTCCCCTCCTCTGAAGGGAGAGCTTTGTATAAAATGAAAACAGAGTTGAAGAACATACTATGTTATCTAGAAATATCTGACTTTGCTACATGTTATACAACTAGGGGGGAGAGCAGAGTGGAAAGAAGAGGAGGAGAAAGGGACTTTCTATTTATGGATGGTGCATTTCTTTTCGTCCTGCTACTTAAATTATTTGTTCATATCCTGCTTAATTTGTACTGCAGTTGTTTTTTTTTTCCCCCCCTTCCCCCCCCCAAAGAAAAAGATATTTCAGGCACTTTTTTTTTTTTTTTTTTAAACTTTTCTAGACCTCTGCAAATGAATGTTCTGGAAGCGAACAGAGATCTGCCATCAAATCTTCTGGGAATAAACTAGGCTTTAGATTTCCTATTTTAGACAAGATATCAGTCAAGCAGAAGTTGAAACCCAGCCTTAAAAAAGTAGAGAAAAGTGTACTTGACCCAAATAAAGTCACTGCAGGTAAGTACTGGATACATGAAACTGAGTCTCTTGTCCTAATATTAGAAATAGCAAACTGGATGGATGCTTTGCCGTTTCATCATCATCTTTCTACTACTGCAGTGCACACACATTTGCTTTGTTTTCTTGATATAAACAGACTCTTTTTATAACACAATAGTTTCAAAGTAGAATTTATGCTTGCATTTTTAGGTCTTCTTTAAAATGACAAACAGTGGAAAGTTTAGATGGACATAACACCTGTAACTAAAAACTTTGTCTCGGTGAATTGAGTGAAATGATTTAGAGATACTGTTCAGAACAACTGAAATTATTTTTAGAACAGCAAATTGCAGAATATGCAGATGTGTCATTTAGTTAATTGTGAAACATGGGATCAAAGGCCGGAGATAAAGCATGCGTTCTAATCACCTTATTCCTACAGGGTGCAGGCAAAATTTTGCTGTTTTGTTCACTAGACTTTAATAAGAACACGACCAAGTCCATATTACATGGAACTTGGTAATTGAGAGATAAGAGAGGTAATTTACAATGAATTATTTGGGTTTAAAATACAAAAAAAAAAGTTGCTTTTACTTCTTATCATAGTTAATTTTATCAAAAACAACAAATAAATCCTCCATAATTTAAATAACAGCCGTTAAACAAGTTCCAGCCTAACAATTCTCAGAATACAATATAAAGTTTGCCAGGATTAGCTAATCAGTTTATTGTTTCAGTGAAGTCAGTTAGTATGTAGGCCAGCAAGTTGCTTTTTAAAGTGATATTCCATTTTCAAGCACAAAGCTCAATATTTATACAACAAAGACTTTTCACCAAATATCATAGCAGATGGATAGTTTCTCTCTTCTTCAGGGAGATTATGGGAATGCAACTACAGCTCTAGAGACAGAAAACAGGCCCATGCAGAGAAATAGCTATGCAGGAATGACAGTCCTTGCAGGTTCATATCATTGTAGAAATAGCTTGCATAAACAAAAAACTACTTTGATATTGTTCTTGATGGGGATAATTATACTTGGGGCGCTCTACACAATCAAGAATGCCCTTGAACATGCAAGACAGTTTTGCTAAGTTTTAGAAAGGAAATAGATTAGGTCCTTTGCTAGTTTTGATTTACTGCACATTTGCGTTCCGCTAATTCAAAATACATCGTTCATGAAAAAAAAAAGTATTTTCAAATTAAGGATAAATCCATCCACTCTGCGTTCATGTAGGGCTGAGGTAATTCCACTTATATCGGCATTATTTCACGTCTCTAGTTTAATTTAGAGCAGAAAATAGGCCTCAGGTATTTGGGGAAAAAGTATAGTCAAAATTAACCAGTGCCCTGATCTTGTAACTGTGTGAGGACAAAAATCTTATTTCCATTCAGAGCTTCACTTAAATCAACAAGGAGTCTCCTGAGCAAAAGGCTGCTTTGATTTAGTCAGGCAGTCATCTGCAGCATAGAACCGGTCTTTTTTTCCCCTCCCCTTCCAGACACAAAAAAAGAAAGAAAGAAAAAAAAAAAAAGCTCAGTGCTTATAAATAAAGCAAAGTCAAATACAACTGTGGACTTGCATGTCATTTTTATGTATATAACTTGTTTTATCTGTAGGGAGAAAACCCAAACTTTCCTTTAGTTTATCAACAACATGCAATTCAAAGGAAAGTTTATCCCAAAGCCCTTCCTATCCCAGTGGCTGTCCTGTCTGTTCTCTTCATACTGCATTAGAGCAGGGATATATTCTCTCATTTCCCCATCACATTCCTAATATCTTTTATCTTCACGTTTATTTATCCCCGACATCCTTAACACGCATGCAGACATGCTTGCCCAATTATTTTAAGTACTTATCCGCCCCCCACAGTTTGTTTCTGACTACCCTCCACCATTTAAACGAGTTTATCTTTACAGATTCCTGTGAAGTTGATTATTTCCATTTCAGTGATAAGCACAGCAAGTGATTTTTGTATAGGGTAAATTTTGGCAGAGCAAAAGACTGAATCCAGTATCTTATCTCCGACGTGACGGTCCTGACCATTGATTATACTTTCCATTCAAAATTTTTTCGAGGGGGGCTAGGACACTTCTCTCTCTGCTGGGATCACGGGCAAAGAGTCAACTGTGAAAAATGATGCAGCACTAGATGTTTTTCTTTCTTGGATGTTTCCATCTCGGAGTTACCACTTTCACAGACTTCAGGAACTCTCAATTTGCTATCTAGAGAGTAAATGCATTGTTTTGAAGGAGAGAAAGAGAAGGAAAGAAGGTTTAAAGATTATACAGCATGAGACAGTCCTCCCAGGAGGCAGCAGAAGGAAAGCTGCCTATCCCTTGTTGATTATTGGTGTGGAAAACTAGTGATCTTCCGTAAAGCATGCGTAGATAGGTTTTGCCAATGCCTTCCTTGCATGTTAGCTCAACTAGAGTTGCTAGAGCTTTGCTTCTATCCTAATATACTTGCTCAAACATCAGCTGACAAGAGTCAGCCTAGCTGCTATGGGGAAGACTTCAGTGTGAGTTGGTTCACCTTTCAGAAGCTATATCAAGTGAAGACCTTAATAAGAGTTACTGTTGTTGGGAGTTTAGACTTTAGGGCCTATCTTAACTAGTATTTGAGCACTTCCATTCAGATGGGTTAGTAATGGCCTTTTCAAAAATTTGTTTCTTTTGATTTGGTACGGGTCAACTGATGCCTGTTCCCTACCCCTTTTATATATTTTGAGCTATGAGTACCTTCTCAGGCTTCACATGGTGCCGAAGAATGGAAACAGTTCTTTGATTTTTATCCAGTCAATTTATATTCTTGCACTAAACAAAGAGACAGGTCTCCCAGTCATCTCATGAGATTTGTCAGATTTCTTGATGTTTTATGTGACATGCTTTGTAAGATAATAAGTAGAACCCGTAAAACTTTTTTGGTTTGTTATCGTAACATATGGTTTTGTGTATAAATGTTAACACACAGTTCTTCTGCATGGTGCCCTTGAGGATTGTAACAAACAGCGCAGGCCTCCCCCAGAGTACTTTCTGAAAACCAACTCAGCTTCACATTCAAAATGGGACAGATTAAAGTGCTCACTAAGAGTTTGTATTACTGCATAACAAGCAAGCGAGATAGGATTTTCAGAGTTTTGTCTCTTAACACTATGAAACAAATTAAAAAATGCTAACACAAGCAGGCAATACATTTTTCTATTGCTCATGTAGAGGTAGTTTCTTCTGAAACTGCACATTCAAAGTAAGGACTGGATGGGCCAGAACACATTCCAGGAAGAAGGTAAGTATTAATTGGACTTTGTAGGTGCCAGTACATCATTTAGTAGGATTTATTAGCTTTCTTCACATGCTCCTACACGTGCCCTACCAGACAAGCAATATTGACTTTGCATTCTAGAGTTGATGAATAAATCCATTTTGTTAACAAGGAGCCTGCTAGAACTAGACTAACCAATAACTGACTGTGCCATGACGTCAGTAGCAGAATAATATTTGTACGTCACTCCAAACATGCGCTAAACACTGGATGCACAAGTAAAACAGCGTTTTGACAGTTGTTTTTATTTTGAACACAGATCTTGGCGTTCCACAGGACTGTGCAGGACCATCAAGTGAAACTGCATTTGAGAAAAGGGAGAGATCTCTAGGAAGAAAGAGTTTAACACAGTCCTCTAAGCTCAATCTAGATCGCAGGGGGCTTGAGAGAAAAAACAAAATAGGAAGTGTTCCTGCGCAGGCACAAGCTCAGCCATCCACATCTACCTCCCAGGAAACTAGTGGTTCCTGTACAACAAACAAATTGAGTGGTTTATCACTTCTGCGCCATAAGAGAGCCTCTTTCAGCTCCAGAGGGAAAAGTTTTTGTTCTATTCAGCACTTGAACATGAAAGATTCTCACGAAGAAATGGAAGATACTAAAGATGGCACTCAGTTAGAGAAAGAAAGTCTTCCTCCGAATGTTAGCACGTTTCCTAGTACTCTGGGACAGAGCCACAGATCTGGTGAAGTATCTTTAGCACAAGGTGAACGACAGACCTTGGCAGAAGGTGCAGATGATAAAACTGTTTCATCTAAACGAGGGAAATCTTCCCATTGGCTTTTAAGAAAGAAAAAATTAAAAGTCACTGCTGCTGAAC